AAGCACAACTGTCCAGTACAAGAGTAGTGCGCGAAGTATGCTTTGGCAGCCTCAATGCGCCTGTAGCAGCTCTACTATTGTGTGTTTCCAATTTTTGTTTGGCTGCGAAATTCAGCAAATCATCAACTTGGGGAAAAGGAACTCATTCCTACTTCATGTCCTGGCGCATTTGCATTTTCATGTTAACTCGAGTGTTGTGCAGAATTCCATGTACATGCTAGTTCAATCTGTTTGAAACATATGTTGCAAAGCAACTATCCCATGTGTGTGTGTTGCTTGTTTAACTTGGTTCAATCATCGCCGAGAACAAGTATTGAAATTCAAGTAAGGGAAGGATATCCAGTTTAAAACGCTTTCGAGTTCAAACCAAATTCAAGTTTACTCGTTTGGAGTTTCTTGTGCATTTCAAAATCAACTGGAGAAGATGGCGATTGTCCTTATCGAACTCCATGTGGTTTGAACCAATCAAGAGCCAATGCCTGGAACGTGCTTTCAATCATAGATCTTATTATTGGCATAAATGCTGTAAAACGTAGTGTTTTTCAGCATTTGCTCAGATCGTGTTGCCTTAGATCGAAGATCGAGTATACAAGATTCCACAAACATATGTTTATAACATCCTCAATCCTGGTCCCCTAAAAACTTGACAGTTTGTTCTAGACTCATTAAGGTTTTGCCCCCCTGCATTAAAGATTGAAGATCTACTATATTTTCTATGGAGAATTGAGAATCTTCAATCCTGGCCAGCCCTCAAGTCCACACAAAACCTGTAAAGATGTCAACAACATTTTTGCCCCCTGGCCAAATGCAGGCAGTGCCAGTGCACATCCACAATTTGATTCTGACAACGTGCACTCCCGGTTTGGCAGCAAAGTTCAGCAAATCATCAACTTGGGGAAAAGGAACTCATTCCTGCTTCATGTCCTTGCGCAGTTGCATTTTCATGTTAACTCGCGTGTTGTGCAGAATTCCATGTACATGCCAGTTCAGTCTAATTGAAACATATGTTGCAAAGCAACTATCCCATTTCTAACATCGGTACTTAGGTCAATCCAGGATGTGCTAGCACGTGCTAGCACATCCCGGATTGAAGATTGAAGATTGAAGATTCTGAGACCACTTGTTCCGGAAATCTTCAATCCTTAGGACAAACTGATATGTGCTAGCACATCTTGGATTGAAGATTGAAGATTGAAGATTCTCTGACAACTCTCTCTGGGATTCTTCAATCTTCAATCTTCAATCCAAGATGTGCTAGCACGTGCTAGCACATATAAGTTTGTCCTAAGGATTGAAGATTTCCAGAACAAGTGGCCCGAGAATCTTCAATCTTCAATCTTCAATCCGGGATGTGCTAGCACGTGCTAGCACATCCTGGATTGACCTAAGTACCGATGCTAGAATTTAAGTCTAAAACGGAGTGCATTTTTGGAGTCTAAAATATGCATTTTTACAGCCAAAATGTCAAAAACGGCCAAAAACCTGAGTATTCCAGGGGGGGGTACCATATATATATACATATATACGTTCCCGCGCAAACCAGGGGAACTCTGACCTTTTGGGGGAGACGGGGCCTGCCCTCCAATGGGACCCCGTGCATTTTCTCCGGAGGCGCTACAGAATACCAGCACATCCGGGCCTGCGACAGGAGATTCCAGTCCCAGCTTCGGCGTCTCGGTTCTCCTTCATCCCGATTTTGGGGTCCACGATTTGGTATAGCACGTGGAAAGTATATGTCACAAATGTCATACAAATGCCAAGGAGTGGGTGTTGTTTTAGTTTCACCAAACAAAAATCACGCCGCTTGGCGTGAGTTTGCCCTTTTGGTTGTTTAAACGCGCAACCAGGTCTATGTCTGGCCTAGGTTATTCCCATCTTTCAACCTCTTTGCAGGGACTTAGCCAGTTGGTGCGTAACCCTTATACAGGGGGGGGTTCTAGGGGTTTGGGGGTTGCCGACTGACCTGCCATTGCTTCCCCCTCAGCAGTGGTGCAAGGGATGTGTTGAGAGGACCGATGTGAAATGGCCAAGTCAAGTTGCTCTCATTTATCTCAGGCTCCGTGTATGTGCCCACAGCCTTGCCAGACCTAGCGTTTTACTGTTTGCCTGGGTTATCGTTAATTTTCCCTTTCAACTAGCAAGAGATCATCTCCAGCTCGCAGTTCGACATATTGTTTGGCTGCCGAACGTGAGGATGCGGGAAGCAAGGTCTGGCCCAGTGTTCGGAGATGTTCTATGGTGACTTTGTGCAGCAAATGTATTTGCAAACATGATCTACGAGCAGCCGGGTTCCGAGCCAAATCAACGGCCTTGGTTTTGCATTCTTCCTATAGTGAGCTTTGGAGACGAAACGAGCGGAAGTCGTGATGTAATGGGTTTTGAAACTATTGTCAGGTTTGCATCTTCGTCTTTCAGGTTTATTGTTGGCCCCCACAGACATGACACACAGGACATACAGGACATACAGGACATACATGACATGCAACACATCCATCACATACGTCACATGCGTTACATACATTTCATACATTGCATACATTGCATGACATGCACATCATACATAACACACATTGCATAGACCACGTACACTACATGCATTACATATGTTACATACTTATGATACATGCCATACACACCATATATACACACAGTACAGACAGTGCATAACGGACATACCATTCATACCATACCATGCATACCACACATACCATACATACCATACATATCATACGTACCATACAAGCATGCATCGATACATGGATACACAAATGCATTGGTGCGTTGATACATACATAGATGCATAGATGCATAGATACATGCGCACACATTGTACAACTTATACACATGAGACGTATGTTATATATATATATACAGATACGTATGCACATGAACGTGTGTGGGGGGGGAGGATGCTCTGCGCAGGAACTTTGTGGTTCTGAAAACCAAGCGGCTGCTGCTGAACATGGAGAAGGCTCGTTGGCGTCGACTCGAGGGCTCGACTTGTCGGGATTCAGTTGATGTTCAGATGGGAAATGCAGGGAGCCCTTTTACAAAACCACCATTGTTGATGAACTCAAAAAGCAGTCGTCGTTGGATCCTTTGGATCCTCACTTTTTCTGGCCTTACTGTGGATGGACACAATCCTGCCCCACATCTAAAACCATGGGAAACCATTGTTTGTTGGTATTTACAAGGGAGCCAGCATCTCATGATTTCTCAGGTGGTGCCTAAGAGGATTTCGCAACCATCCAACGAATCTCAGGTGAGTTTGTGGCCTTTGCGTGGCCAGGAAAGGGCGAAGATGGCTGGCGTTCTGAGACCGGAGCGAATCTCAGCAATGGACAGCCCGCTGTGAATTTCACCCTCGTCTCTGTTGCTTGGTAGGTTCAGGACTCATAAATGGGGGGGGGGTCCTTTTTTTGAGGGTGCCTTTCTTTGAGGGAGGAAACCGAAGGAAACCAACCATGCTGGAGTTCTGCAATTTGGGGACGAACCCAACGGCTCTGGCCCAAAACATAGGTTCCAATTCTTGCTCTACCTTTCACTGGTTGCAAAAGGGGGTTGGTTTGCCCACGAAGTTTTGACGCTTGCCAGTTGGACCTGCCCGCGAAAAAGACAAGAATAATCCTTGTTGTTTGTGGTTCAAAGATGTTGCCGGGTACTTGTAGAGTCATTGTAGAGGTTCCTCTGTAGTGGTGTTTGGGTCCCACGTTCATCAGCAAAGCCACTGGACTGGACTGAATTCACGTGGAACCCAGTGGGGTTGGAGCCATTTCCGTTGAACACGGGGGTGGGTCCATGTTAAACGTCAACTTCCCGCTTCCCAAAGGGATCAGCAAGCCAAAACCACCGAGGTGAGTTCCTTGGACAGTGCAACCGTTCCACCCAAAAAGTTCCAAGCTTTTCCAGCGAGTGATTTTGGCTGGATAGTTCAGCAATACTCCTACAAGCGTCGCCATTGCTTATACGAGCAACGGGTCCCATTGGACGCCAAAACGCCGGGCTTCAGGATGTTCGACCTGGCGAGTCGCCCCGTGTTGCGCAGACCAAAGGAACCGGTTTTTGTCTTTGGCTCCAGTTCTCCGGAACCGGAGCCGAATTTTTCCCGGATCCCTCTCCGAAAGCTGCGGGGCAAACCGCGAGTGAACCAGCGGAGAAAGTCGTCACAGAATGGGCCAATTTGCCGAAGAATCTTCGGAGAATCACTAGAAAATGGATTCGAGAGGCAAGAGGCTTGGGGTTTTCGTCCGGACGCCTAAGGTTCGGGCAGCCTTGCCCAGCTGAGACGTCGAGATCGGACGCTGCCAGCGAACGTTGGGAGCTGTCCAAGTTTGCTAGAACCTGTTGGCATGTGTGTGTGCTTTCTAAGGCTACCCATGTACCCTATGTTTCCCAAATCCACCTTACACGGAAGTGTACAGATTGCTTTTCTGAAGGGAAATTAGTTTTTCGAAATGGGTCTTTGCACTATGTTCGCAGTGTAAGCTGGGTACTAGCCGTTGTTAGCTTTACCAAAGAAAGTCAAAAGGGCAGTAGTTTGAATTGTGCAAGAATTGCCTTTTCCCTTGATGGCAAAAACATGTTGTTCTGTGTTGATTTTGTCATTGATTCAATACCGAGTTCACATTGCAGGCTTTGGGTGATGGAACTGGCCAGCTTTGCTTGTCTCCTTTGGTCTCGCACCCGCGAACGTGGGCGGAGAAAAGCCGTGCTCGCTGCATGTTTCGTGTTCGTGGGTTGGATTGCTTGAGGGCGATCGCCTCCGAAGCTTGACTCCAAACTATCAATCAAGGGACCCTAAACCGGTTCCAATATGAACGGGCTTCAGCTTGTGGCAAAACACAGTCGTGTACAGTATCCTAGGACCCATTTAAATTTGCTTTTTTGAGTGCTCACGGAGCACTCATGGACCCAGGCTTCGCCTTGATTGGGACAGCTAAATGGCCTCAAATAGCGCGTGCAGCCATTGAAGGCCTTCGAAGTAGACTTTGCAAACTCCAATGCATTCTATGTGGATCCTGCTGCTCTTGCCGGTGGCCTTGGGAGTGCGGACGGATGGCTCAGGAAGAGTTGAGGACTGAGGCAGTAGGGCGCGGTTTACAACTGGGCTGTCCAGCTTCTGAGTCTCCCATGGATGTCAAGCGTCAAGCAAAGGCCTGCTCTGCTTTGCGGTATTCCTTGCCATGAGTATCTGTCGTAACTGGCCATCAGACAGTATAAAATGTCCGCCCGCTCCTCTGTTAGAATAAAATGTACTCTGTCGAATAAATGAGGACAGTGGGAATAAGTATTCGGAATAAATACGAATAAATCAGACAGTTAGAATAAACCCAATTGTTGCATTTTCTGTGCAGATCCTTGGAATTGGAACACGGCTGTAAATTTGCCCACACTCGCGCAAGTTCGGCGCAGCTCGCGAAATCTCGCGCAGCTCGGCGCAAATTCGGCGCAGTGCAACTTTGAAAGCAGCTAATCTCCATGACCCTGAACAAATAGGGTCATTTGCTCACAGGCGCCCTTACTGACTTTCAGCCGTCACAAGCCGTTCGCGCCCAAAAACGAGTGTGTTTGCTGTGTCTTGCCAAAAGGATTCCAGCATAATTGTCTGCATCAATTGGGCATACAGACGTACATACGTACATACATTCATACATACATACATACACACATACACACATACACACATACATACATACATACATACATACATACACACACACACACACACACACACACACACACAGACACAGACACATACACATACACATACACATACACATACACATACACATACACATACACATACACATACACATACATACACATACATACACATACATACACACATACATACATACATACATACATACATACATACATACATACATACATACATACATACATACATACATACATACATACATACATACATACATACATACATACATACATACATACATACATACATACATACATACATACATACATACATACATACATACATACATACATACATACATACATACATACATACATACATACATACATACATACATACATACATACATACATACATACATACATACATACATACATACATACATACATACATACATACATACATACATACATACATACATACATACATACATACATACATACATACATACATACATACATACATACATACATACATACATACATACATACATACATACATACACACAAACATACACATACACATACACATACACATACACATACACATACACATACACACGCACACATACATACATACATACAGACAGACAGACAGACAGACAGACAGACAGACAGACAGACAGACAGACAGACATACATACATACACCTGTATACATAGTATTCATATTCAGTTGATACATCTGCAACATATGGGGGTCTGTATATGAGGAAAATATAACTTCACTTGGTGATACACTTTGCATATTATGTCCAGAGTTGCTCAATCTGCAGGGGTAGAACATTGGGTCATTTCTCTGTCAGGCGGGACATAGCGTGCCTCCAGGGAGTAGATAGGTGGGTTCCTTTGCATAAGCAATGGACCAAGCCGGGAGAGCTGTGTCTACTTTCAACCAACTGTGCGGCTCCGATGGTCCAAGGGAGAGTCTGTGGGCCTCCACATGTGTCTGAGATGTTGCAGCAGGATGCAAGCCGGGAGTTCATGAAGACACCCAAATCCAAATTTAATTGAATTGAGTTTGGCTTCCCCAATCCGCTTCCGTGCTTTCTGAAGCTGACGTGTTCTACAACAAATGCGCTTGGAGGTGTCACTTTGTCCTTGCTCCTGGTTCTGCAATTGGGCTTTCAAGTGTGGGCTTCCGCACATGTTTTGGGAGGGCTGCAGTGCACGGCTTGCAAATGCCCTGCAGGATGTTACTAGCACAGGCAAGAGCTGCTGCTATGACGTCACTGCCGGGCGGAACTTCTGCTCGAATGATGTTTGCGCCAGGATGCCCAAGGAGGGATACGCGTGCCCTACAGACTGCTGCGATGGACCTGGGTTGAGGTGCCCGCCTTCATACTTGGAAGCCGAGGAGACAGTGGAGAAAGCAGCAGACAAGGACTGGGCAGAAGAGACTGTGACCAGATAGAAACTGGTCCGTGTGCATTTCCCGGTGTTCTGTAGAAGCTGCTTGTGAAACAGGTGCCTTTTCGATGCATATTTTTGGGAACTCTAGTTTCCGGAAATTGGCAAAGTGGCTCAGAGAATAAGTAGATGTGTGGGCCTCCACATGTTTCTGAGACCCGATGTTGCAGCAGGATGCAAGTCGGGAGTCCAAATTTAATTGAATTGAGTTTGGCTTCCCCAATCCGCTTCCGTGCTTTCTGAAGCTGACGTGTTCTACAACAAATGCGCTTGGAGTTGTCACTTTGTCCTTGCTCCTGGTTCTGCAATTGGGCTTTCAAGTGTGGGCTCCGCACATGTTTTGGGAGGGCTGCAGTGCACGGCTTGCAAATGCCCTGCAGGATGTTACTAGCACAGGCAAGAGCTGCTGCTATGACGTCACTGCCGGGCGGAACTTCTGCTCGAATGATGTTTGCGCCAGGATGCCCAAGGAGGGATACGCGTGCCCTACAGACTGCTGCGATGGACCTGGGTTGAGGTGCCCGCCTTCATACTTGGAAGCCGAGGAGACAGTGGAGAAAGCAGCAGACAAGGACTGGGCAGAAGAGACTGTGACCAGATAGAAACTGGTCCGTGTGCATTTCCCGGTGTTCTGTAGAAGCTGCTTGTGAAACAGGTGCCTTTTCGATGCATATTTTTGGGAACTCTAGTTTCCGGAAATTGGCAAAGTGGCTCAGAGAATAAGTAGATGTGTGGGCCTCCACATGTTTCTGAGACCCGATGTTGCAGCAGGATGCAAGTCGGGAGTTCATGAAGACACCCAATTCCAAATTTAATTGAATTGAGTTTGGCTTCCCCAATCCGCTTCCGTGCTTTCTGAAGCTGACGTGTTCTACAACAAATGCGCTTGGAGGTGTCACTTTGTCCTTGCTCCTGGTTCTGCAATTGGGCTTTCAAGTGTGGGCTTCCGCACATGTTTTGGGAGGGCTGCAGTGCACGGCTTGCAAATGCCCTGCAGGATGTTACTAGCACAGGCAAGAGCTGCTGCTATGACGTCACTGCCGGGCGGAACTTCTGCTCGAATGATGTTTGCGCCAGGATGCCCAAGGAGGGATACGCGTGCCCTACAGACTGCTGCGATGGACCTGGGTTGAGGTGCCCGCCTTCATACTTGGAAGCCGAGGAGACAGTGGAGAAAGCAGCAGACAAGGACTGGGCAGAAGAGACTGTGACCAGATAGAAACTGGTCCGTTTGCAATTCCCGGCGTTCAGTAGAAGCTGCTTGTGAAACAAGTGCCTTTTGATGCATCTTTTCGGGAACTCTAGTTTCCTGAAATTGGCAAAGTGGCTCATGCAGAGAATATGTAGATGCCGCAATCCCCTTGAACAAGCAATCAAGCTGATTTCACCGAGCCGGGAGAGCTGTGCCTACTTTCAACCAACGCGGCTCCGAATGCGAAATCGATTCCCTCGAAATGAGATTGGGGAAACCTACCCTGTGCTTTAAGCTGAACGGCTCCGATGGTTGGGCTAGAGCCTTCGGGCCTCATGTTCTTGCAGGATTCAGGCCGGACAGGTGGACTAAACTTACGAATCTGAGAAACAGAATACATGAGGTCCCTTGACGTGAGCTTGGTTAGACACCAGCTTTTTAGTGGGTTGTATGTGCTTTAGTATTGTTGTCTCCCGCACTCTGCCCACTGCGCCTTTCTCCCGCAATGAGTCGGTTAGTTGGAATCCTTCTCGAAAAGCAAGTACACTGGAGACTCATGTTATTTGTTTTGCTTTGGGTACCCTTCCTGGGGCTGATTCAAAGGGAATGCACAGGGACACCACCCAGGTGTCACACTTTTGGAAACCACCCATGGACGTGGTTTCTCAATCCGAAGCATTGCGTAGACATAGATGGAGCTCGGGGAGTTCCCGGAGTTTGTACTTTTGTTACACCATTTTAGTGGCAGATACCAAGTTTGCACTTTTGACGCCAATCTCAGGAAGTGAGTCCTGAGCAATGTTTTGATCCCTTGCCTTGTTTTATTATGCTCTTTATCGGGGCCCGATAGGATGCCTTGGCGCGCAACATCAAGGCAGGGGGGTAGCATGAGGGGCCGGCTTTGGGATGACTTCGGGATTTTGGGGGAAACTACCTTGTTTCCGGGAGAAAACGGGGGGAGACGGATTCTCCATGGATCTATGGATCTTGGGAAAACTGTCTTTTGATTCTCTCGAGGGGAGCTACCGCATGGCCCAGTTCTAGCTGCCAGCCTTTGGCTCGTGTTGGGCTCTCGTAATTTCTCTGACCAGGGATTCCATTTACCTAGGTACCAAATGGAAGATGGCGAAGGGTTACCTGGTTTTTGCCAAGTAGCCCGACTTGAAGCGCAGCCACTCCGAATCTCCGAAACCCGATGGCCGACTTCGCGGGTCGTTCACGCACAGCTCTCGAGTTCAGTGCGCCAAACTGGTTCGAACTTTCCAATTGCCTTGTGCTGCTGACTGCGTCAGGGCGTTGCACATGCGCATCGTTACATGGCAAGCCCGCGCTTGCCAGCTTGCCCTCCGTCCGGATGTCCTGGAGAAGTGGCGCTCGTGGCACAGAGTGGAAGCGTATCCGCATGAGTCGCTACTCCCGCAGATCTCTTTGTGAGCCATGGAACAGCGCAGGCTGTAACCTGCCATCAGTAACCGAGAAGCCTCGGCCTCCAAGCCATAAATGGCAACTTCCGCTCTCACATAAGTTGCCTGCGTCCATGAATCCCTGTCTCTCTCTCTCTCTGCTGTGCAGGTAAATCAATCGCGCTCTCCAGGGCCCGCTTTCCGCAGAATGCTTTCTTCACACTCCTTCCATTTGCTTAAGATGTTGTTTTGTTTTTCCCCTGGTGGTTTTAAAGGGAATCGATTGCACTACTGGAAATAGGTTTATTTGTTTTTGGGGACTTAAACTATTGGTCAGTGCAAAGCATGTTTTTCTTTATACTTTCGTGCTTGCAGCATCGGGGGACCGGGGGTTCCAAAACATCCTCACTCAGCAAGTGCTGAAGCAGCGGACCTTCCAGTGTGCAGCCCGCTATCCTCTGACATCTTGGTTGCACTGTTTGTTCTAACCTTCAACATGTTCAACTTGTGCCAAATGCTTTGATCCACAAGCTACCCTCAAGACATGCAAACCATGTCCTTTCTTTTGTACGTTAGATGCGCTGCGATTCGCGTCACATGCTCTTTCCAGTGGGCCGCAGTCTGAGGGAAACTCATTTCCCAAGTCCGGTACAAATCTTGGCCAACCCCCCGAGGTCCACCCTCGATGAGAAGCAAGCGAGGACCGCATTCCAAGGGCCTGGGGGACAAGGTCCGAAGGTGCATTGTCAGACTTACTCCTCGATTTCTAGTTGGGTATGTATCAAAATAGGGGGACCCGCATGAGTTGTGGCTTTGGTTTTGGTTCCCTCTAAACCAACCTTACAAAGGGTACCCTCCAAACAAACGCCCATGTGCCATTTTCGCTGCTTTGCCTTCTGGATGTCTTACTTGTTTCTTTGACAGGCAACAAGTTAAAAGGTGCATTTCGTTTAGCCATGTGTTTTTCATCGACTGGTGGGTTTTCCATCGAGCCGCTCGTTGGTGTTTGAAATAACTGAAGCAAAGAGCTCAGGGCCGATCTGGCGATGTTGGTATGACTTGCATGGGTCCATGATTCTGCCCTGGGCGACGTCTGAGGGGTAAAGCGACCGCAAATGTCCGGCGCTTGGAGATCTGAATTTTAGGTCCTGGATCCGTTTGAAACACATATTTACGTGGCACCTTTTCAATATCACCCGTGAAAGATGGATATTATATTTTCCTCCAACGATTTGGAGAACAAATAACTGCTTCTTAGATGGCCCCAGATGGTTGCGTGCCAACACATGCCCAGTGCTTTTGAATTTCGGGATCTTTGCGCACACACTAGTCACAGGCACCACAGGTGACGTGTTAGTCCGAGAAGGGCAGAATACACGTTGCGCTGCTGAAAGCTCTGGAAACGTGCTCGCTGTAAGGGCCTAAGAAACTCGATGGCGGTTGCGAGGTACTGTCGATCATTACACCAGCATAGATCCCAGATAGCGAATAACAGGCGGATGATTGCCCAGCACTCCTCCAACAGCACCCCAAACAGCGTCTCAAAACAGCACCTGCACCAGCACCAAACTGCATACCCCCCTTGCAGAGTCAATCTCGCAAAAATGCGCCCGCGCCGCCACCCCGAAAAAGGGGCTGCCTGGGCTCGATGTGGCATCCAAGCAAGTTTGTTCCGGGTTCCCGAAACTTCCAAACATGCCAGCAACCCAAACCAGGTTGCAAAGCATGGTTGGCAACAACCGCTGTGATTTCAGAGTATGTCAACTTCGGATCAACCTGGAGGATGATACTATATAATTATACTATTCATGGCCTCCCTTTTGAGTCAGGGATTCAGGTCAGCCAAGGTGATATGCCCCCAAATTGGGCTCATAGTCCTCATAGTCTAAATGCAATTCCTACTGCAACCAGGTCCTTTCCACTATCTAACTGGCTCTTTGGTTGCGGCGTGCGCAAGCAAGCCGAATGCTGTGAAGCAGGGCGCAGCTGACAAGAAGCCGCTTCGCCTACACGTTTAACCAAATCTTTCACACCTATGCCATCAGAGCGATTCCTAAGCGAATCATGCCAAGTCTACGCCGGCAATGCACTATGGCATATCAGCATGCAGTGATACACAGGCAACACCCTATGCAGCAAGCTGCAATTATCGTTCAAATGTCATAGTAGTTGCAACGCAACAAAACACTGCAACAAAATGCTGGTGTGTTGAGGCGGCTGCAAGGGCAGAGCAAGATGTTGTTGCCATCGAAGCGTCAGCCAAGGCCCGTGTTCTTAGTTGTATTATGCTCCCACTTGGGCACTTCAATGGCGAGCAAGCGATACGCTTATCCGCAAACGGACCTTTTCGTGGCCTTTCAACCACGTCATTCTTTACATGCATCTCGATGTTACGGTTGAAATGTTTCCAGATATCTTGGGCAAGAACATGTTTGGCCTCTAGAACGCTCTGGTCGATCTGTCTCATGGACGATTTTGTCGGGTCCTTGGGGCAACCACGGCGGGGCGCCTGCCGGAGACATCGTGTTAGTCATAAACAAAGGTCAGGCGAGAGCAGGCCAAGTCAAGAGTAAGTGCTTGCACTCGCAAAGGGCGAACTACCTCCTGAAACGTCAACTTCCGGTTCTAGCCTGGAAACCAGTTCGAGAATTTGAGGACAGCTAGGCTATCATGCTACAGCTTCGGTTGTTCAGGGCAAGCTTGCCAGCAAGTCCGAAATGCAAGTACATTGCGCCAGTGACGTCATGCTTTAAGCAATCCCAGCTTGCGCCAACAATGTTGCGCAAATTAAAGCAGCAAAGCAAAGCGCTGCCTCAGCTTGTATTGAACTACCGCATCATGACTGAGCGGGCCTGCAAAGTGGTTTTACCGCTTGGTGGCTAGCAGCTGCGCCATATGATACAGATGCGCAAGTATGGATGAACATGCGCAGGATCTCTGCTCTTTGAACGGCCAGTGGCTTCGCGACAACCTTCATGAGTAGCGCCCTCATCGTGCAAGCAAGCGCCGACCCAGTGTAGGCTGCAGATTTCAAGCACTGTTTGTAGGAGGAGCCGCAAAAGGCCACCAGTCAACAAACCAAGGTGCTGCTTAGAACTGGCGATGGTAGCTGGCAAAGTAAGCTTCTTGGTAAGCACATGCACTTGGCAGAAAATTAGGTTGCTGGTCGGATGAATTTGGCTTGCTGGCGATGATGTATTTTCGATGAATTGGCTGGCCCTTTGGCTGCCTGAGCATGATGAGTAGCAAAGTGGCTTTGGCTAGAGGTGATTGGTAGCCAAAATGGCTTCGCTGGGGGAGATTGGTAGCCAAACAGTTTTCGCTGGGGGTGATTGTTAGCCAAATTGTTTTGGTTGGGGGTGATTGGAGCCAAAAAGGTTTGGCTGGGGGTGATTGGTGGCCAAAATGTTTTGGCTTGGGGTGATTGATGGCCAAATAGGTTTGGCCAGGGGGGATTGGTAGCCGAAAAGTTTTTGCTGGGGGTGATTGGTAGCCAAAAAGTTTTGGCTGGTGGTGATTGGTAGCCAAAAAGTTTTGGCTGAGGGTGATTGATGGCCAAAATGTTTTGGCTGCGGGTGATTGGTAGCCAAATAGGTTTGGCTGGGGGTGATTGGTAGCCAAATAGGTTTGGCTGGGGGTGATTGGTGGCCAAAAAGGTTTGGCTGGGGGTGATTGGTAGCCAAAAAGTTTTGGCTGGGTGTGATTGGGTTTCCAGAAACCCCGTCACAATCTGCCAAATGCACTTGGCCAGCCAGGGCAGTCAATCAACGTCGGGACAAAGGGGACGGAGCCAGAATTGTGATTGGGTTTCTTGAAACCCAATCACACTGACAAAGCCAACTAAGAAATCAATCATCCTACGACCTGTGCTATTTGGATCCGCGAGTGATTACAATGCTTTTTAACTGAGAAATTGTGATCACAATTCTGGCTGCGCCCGCCTTGTGCCGGCGTTGATTGACTGCCCTGGCTGGCCAAGTGCATTTGGCAGATTGTGACGGGGTTTCTGGAAACCCAATCACCCCCAGCCAAAGCTTTTTGGCTACCAATCACCCCCAGCCAAACCTTTTTGGCTACCAATCACCCCCAGCCAAACCTATTTGGCCATCAATCACCCCTAGCCAAACCTATTTGGCTACCAATCACCCGCAGCCAAAACATTTTGGCCATCAATCACCCTCAGCCAAAACTTTTTGGCTACCAATCACCACCAGCCAAAACTTTTTGGCTACCAATCCCCCCTGGCCAAACCTATTTGGCCAACAATCACCCCCAGCCAAAACATTTTGGCCATCAATCACCCCAAGCCAAAACATTTTGGCCACCAATCACCCCCAGCCAAACCTTTTTGGCTACCAATCACCCCTGGCCAAACCAATTTGGCTACCAATCCCCCCCAGCCAAAACTTTTCGGCTACCAATCCCCCCTGGCCAAACCTATTTGGCCAACAATCACCCCCAGCGAAGCCATTTTGGCTACCAATCACCCCCAGCGAAGCCATTTTGGCTACCAATCACCCCTAGCCAAAACCACTTGGCTACTCATCATGCTCCGGCAGCCAAAGGGCCAGCCAATTCATCGAAAATACATCATCGCCAGCAAGCCAAATTCATCCGACCGGCAACCTAATTTTCTGCCAAGTGCATGTGGTTACCAAGAAGCTTACTTTGCCAGCTACCATCGCCAGTTCTAAGCAGCACCTTGGTTTGTTGACTGGTGGCCTTTTGCGGCTCCTCCTACAAACAGTGCTTGAAATCTGCAGCCTACACTGGGTCGGCGCTTGTTTGCACGATGAGGGCGCTACTCATGAAGGTTGTCGCGAAGCCACTGGCCGTTCAAAGAGCAGAGATCCTGCGCATGTTCATCCATACTTGCGCATCTGTATCATATGGCGCAGCTGCTAGCCACCAAGCGGTAAAGCCACTTTGCAGGCCCGCTCAGTCATGATGCGGTAGTTCAATACAAGCTGAGGCAGCGCTTTGCTTTGCTGCTTTAATTTGCGCAACATTGTTGGCGCAAGCTGGGATTGCTTAAAGCATGACGTCACTGGCGCAATGTACTTGCATTTCGGACTTGCTGGCAAGCTTGCCCTGAATAACCGAAGCTGTAGCATGATAGCCTAGCTGTCCTCAAATTCTCGAACTGGTTTCCAGGCCAGAACCGGAAGTTGACGTTTCAGGAGGAAGTTCGCCCCTTGAGAGTGCAAGCATGCTCTCGCCTGACCTTTGCTTATGACTAACACGATGTCTCCGGCAGGCGCCCCGCCGTGGTTGCCCCAAGGACCCGACAAAATCGTCCATGAGACAGATCGACCAGAGCGTTCTAGAGGCCAAACATTTTCTTGCCCAAGATATCTGGAAACATTTCAACCGTAACATCGAGATGCATGTAAAGAATGACGTGGTTGAAAGGCCACGAAAAGGTCCGTTTGCGGATAAGCGTATCGCTTGCTCGCCATTGAAGTGCCCAAGTGTGAGCATAATACAACTAAGAACACGGGCCTTGGCTGACGCTTCGATGGCAACAACATCTTGCTCTGCACTTGCAGCCGCCTCAACACACCAGCATTTTGTTGCAGTGTTTTGTTGCGTTGCAACTACTATGACATTTGAACGATAATTGCAGCTTGCTGCATAGGGTGTTGCCTGTGTATCAATGCATACTGATATGCCACAGTGCATTGCCGGCGTAGATTTGGCATGATTCGCTGAGGAATCGCTCTGATGGCATAGGTGTGAAAGATTTGGTTTAAACGTGTGGGCGAAGCGGCTTCTTGTCAGCTGCGCCCTGCTTCACAGCATTCGGCTTGCTTGCTCGCGAGGCGACCAAAGAGCCGGCTAGATAGTGGAAAGGACCTGGTTGCAGCAGGAATGGCATCTAATAGTTTAATATAGTCATTGAAGGAGGAGGGGGTTGAAACCCTGTCGCAAGAGTAATTTCGAGACTTCATTCAACCGGGGGTGCCCTTCGAAGATGTTTCAAGCATGTCACCTACCAATCGCCTGATGCTTCAGCTGCTCTAGCAGCTTCTGCGGCAAGGTCCGCTGGACCAGTTCGCACAACTCATCCGTTCGGTGCGGCCGACCCCCTGATGCCCCCGAGTTGTTGGTTCGGAACCCGATGACCTGCCGTCAATCTCGTGGAATCCGCCCGCACCGTCACCAGCGTCAAACAGCACCAAACAGAATAGAAAAACCACCTGCACCAGCTGCATGCCCTATAGCACCCTACGGTCAATCTTGCAAAACTGCGCTCGCACCGTCACCTGCATGCCGCCTAGCACCCGGCTGTCTGTCTCGCAACAATGCACCGGCACCGTCACCAGCACCACAAACAGCTCCCCAAACAGCACACCCAAACAACATCTGCACCAGCACCCCAACTGCACGCCCCCTAGCACCCAGCCGTCAATCTCGCAAATCACTCTCCCCTCTTGATTAGAAGTTCATAGCTTTCAGCTATCTGGGGAAAAGGTCATGCGCATGATCATAGAAAGATGAGGGCGCACTTTTCGAATTCAAACCCAAACACGATTCTCCCGAAGGAGATTCTTAGTGGTTTTGGGGCTTGTGGGAGTGGCACGGCAGGCCCACTGTCCAGTTCTGCCATCTTTTGTGTTGAAACGGCTGCAAGAGCCAAGCGATTTCCCGTCTTAGGGGCTTCTCTTGAAGCCGGGTGCCCCCTTTTTACTCACGGAGGTCGGATTCGACCTGTGAGCTCGACATCGTCGCCGACGCACGTTCCGTGTTCCGTGTGAAAGAGCGTGCTAAAGTCTGAGGTAGGAACCATCGACACACAGTGGGTTACGGTAGATGTGGCCTTCTATGGAGGGGGACAGTCCCTGAAAATATAATTTCATTGCTCACAGTCGTAAGGTTTGATGTTGCCTTCTAGGGAGGGGGGGCAGACCCGGCAATTATAATTTTAGTTGGTCACAGTCGAGCAAGGTGAGATGTCGCCTTCCAGGGACGGGGGCAGTCCCTGAAAATGGAATTTTAGTTGGTCACCGTCGAGTGAGGTTTGATGTTTTTTAGGGAGGGGGGTAGTCCCTGAAATTATAATTTTAGTTGGTCACAGTTGAGTAAGGTGAGATGTAACTGAAACACTACGATAGTGATCCTTCGGACATTTATTCCATGGTCCTTGGGCTTTTCTCACTGGCTGGGCAGGGCCACGGAGGTGGCAGTCCGTTAGATCACCTCCGAAAGGATCCAGGGGCATCGCAACCAAACTGGATGCAGCGGAATTGATAGGTGCAAACGGCCCTTTGATTCCTTCTGATGGGTGGGGCCTACCCCCTTTGCCAGGTTTTGATCGTGACTCAGGAGACACCACTACTGCTAGTATTAAACTATGAACATCATCACGCACATTGTACCCGAATGTTTAGGCTTGTTGGTCGACTCCCAACGCAAGCCAGCGACGAAAAAGCGCTGAAACCGATGATCTTCCCAAGGCTCCTTGCATTCTGGCGCCAGAAGGGACCCCCTACTGGACGTTGGATGCATCTCTCGAAGGTTCTTGACCTCAAAGCCCCAAGACTCGGATCAAGTTGAATTCCAGGCGCAGTTGCAAGCGGATGTTCAGTGAATGGCACCTCCCGTTTCGGACTTACCATTTGTTAAACCCTTGGGTTGATAATTCTCTCTCGGAAAAGGCATAATTAGCCATTTACATTCACCTAGTGCACTTTCTTTGGCTTGAAAAGGAATTAAACCGAAGATTGAAGGGCGTGGTTGTTTTCTGCGGGTGTGGAGTATTTTGGGGCTATTGCATAGTGCCTAAAACATTGTGGTGGCACACTTTGCCTCATACCTCCGGGCCAATACCTGAGCGTGCGGCTTGCTGCGAAATGCGATGATCCAGCTTTTCGGCTCACATGGAACATGCGAGGAGTTTGGATTGATCAAGGCCGAGAATTGTGTAGAGTTTGTATGTTCCAACAACTGTTCCAGGCACATAGCTCGTGACACAGCTCGACGCATAGCTCAACACACAGCCCCATGTTCCAGTGCTTCCAGCTGATTGCCATGAAAGGTAGATACATCGCAGAAGAGAAACTTACCACTACAGGAAATCAGCCGGCGCATTTGCCTAAGTAGTAGACTACTTTTTTAAAGTGGCAAAGGTGTCTAAGAAATCCATGGAAGCGAGGTACTGATAGCCTGCGCAAATTGCGTCAAGGGAAACCCTGAAGCTGAAAGGAACATGACGAAGGGTTACCTTACTCGTGTTAGTTGGGATCTGGGTGGTATAGTCATAATCCCAGCAAGCACTGTAGCAATGTAGTGGTATAGTCATGGTTGCCACAAATGTGGCGGACATCGGGCTCCAGCCAGAGTCCATCCTAAACCGCCAACCCTCACCCCGAGTCCATCCCAGACCCCCAAAAACAAAGCTAGGAGTGTGACTGGCTTCTCCAAAAATCAGGCTTCAAACACTTCGCAAAAAACCGAGATGTGGTTTCCCTTTGCTTTCCCTTTAAAGCGCAAGTAGAAAACACGGTGGGAGCTTTCCAAGGGACTGGGTGCCGAGCCGCTGACTCCCAATGGTCTCGCACCAGTGGCTCTGGGAAGCGCTGCGGAACGGGAAGGAGTGACTCGCGTTCCACGCGTGTAGGGCCATGCTTCCATTTGCTGTTTTTTGTTATATTGTTTTTTTGTTTTTTTCTCCCCCTTGTTAGTATTAAAGGGAATCCATCACTATATATTGGACTTTTTTTGTCCAGGGGGTGTAAGCAAATTGAAGCATGGGGAATATGTTTTGGTGTATTTTCCCTTGTTGGTATCAAAGGGAATCCATCACTATATTTTGGACTTTTTTGGTCCAGGGGGTGTAAGCAAATTGAAGCATGGGGAATATGTTTAGGTTTGTTTTCCCCTTGTTGGCATTAAAGGGAATCCATCACTATATATTGGACTAAATTGAAGAAGGGGAAGATGATTTGGTTTATTTTCCCTTGTTGGTATTTGTGGAGCAAAACACACTCGACACATTCAATGGCACCGCCATTGGCTCAAGGCGCTGGAAAAAGCGCGGCCTGTTTGCATAGACATAACCATAGGTTATGAGCCCAACTCTCTGAGGTAAAGCCATGTTTCGCAGGCGCCGGCGAGACGTGAGACAGGAGGACGAGACCGCGGATGAGGCCCTGGATCGCCTCATAATGGAGCGGGTGCAGGAGGAGGACCATGCATCGCGAAGGGCAAGGCCTGAGGATCTGGAGGACCGGCGGGGGATTTGCCGGGTCACTGGTCCAGAGCGGAATGAGCCCAGGGGTGGTGAGGATGTTCCTCCCCCTCCAGGGCTGACGCCGGTGATGGCGGGAGATGGACTTCGCGGGCAAGGAGCTCTACGGGGTCCCCCTCCTGCACAAGGAGAACAACCCGGCCAGCAGGAACGGATTCTGGAACGGCCAGGTGAATCAATTCGAGAACTGGGTGGGGGTCGAGCCCATCCTGGTGTTTCTCAAGGGTACGGGTCTGGCGAACAACCCGAGCCAAGTGAGCTATCTCAGGAACTTCGAGAACGTTCTGGTGCGTACGGTGGGCACGATGCTGTAGGACCTCAAGGGCAACTCTTGGCGAGAAGGCCAAGAACATCCGGGAGTAAGGCATGGTCATGATTCGGGTGAACCTAGCTGAAAGGCATGGTCAACTGCGGGGATTACTTGACGGGCGTCCTTCGGCTGGTCGAGAACTACCGGTTCATCGAGGTCAAGGCCAGGAATGGGAAGTCAGGCCAAGACAGTTGGAGCCCTATGATGGTCGGGAGGCATTGAGTGGGAATCAAAGGAAAGGTCCTGGAGATGTACCAGCAGGTGGAGGGTGAACCCGTTCTGGAGCCCGGAGGTTCAAAGAACAGCGGCCCAGTCTGCTGGCAGGGTAACCATAGAGGATCGAGGACGCCAACAAGGTCAGGAAGAAGATCTTGAAGCTCTGCGACAGAGACGCGGAGGATCTTCGAGGGAGAGGTGGCAAGATTGCAGGCGGCAAGAACAAGGGATGACGTCTCTCAGGACGGCATCAGAAGGAGGAGTAGTTGGAGGTCTTGGTCCTCCACCGCTTCATGATGAAGGAAACCGACCTCAGCCACCTCCACCATCGCCACCACCTCCAAGGAGAATGGGGGACAATAAGCCGAGCGCTCCATCCCACCTATCAAAGGCCCTGAGGGGAGTTGCCCAGCCTGCCTCCTCCTGGAGGAGATTTGGCAGCTTTGACCTTTGGAGATTGGGTGACGGTAATCGGGCCGTTGATGGCGGACATTTCAGGTTCAGCTCAAGAGTGGTGGAAAGATTTTCTTCAACGAGCAGAATCCACCTACACGGAGTGGCTGATTGCGACCCCCCTGGAGAAGCGCCTTCGTTGGGGGAGGGACATGTCCACAATCACAGGGTGGAGCAACGGGGACTCTCCATGCTACGTGCTGCGCTGCCTGACCCAATCCGCAGAGAGATCATATCGGCAAGGAAGATGTCGGCAACGGAGATCATGTTTCGCCTTCATCAGATATATCAGCCAGGTGGGACGTCGGAGAGAGGCAACCTGCTCAAGAATCTGACGTTGAGGCTTTGGAGGAGATGGATAGCGAGAGCGGAAGAGTTGGAGGTTGCATTGCCGGATGGATTGGTGTTGCTGACGGTCCTGAACAAGATCGCGGAGGCGGTCGGGAAGGCTGGTGCTCAAGCCAGCTTTCGGATCTCTTCGGTTCGTCAGGAGCTGCAAGTTGATGTTCGCCCTCACATCGCGAAGATCAAGCAGTTCTCGGAGTATTTGCAGGCGGAGGCGGAAGAGCTTTCACTTGCAACGGCCCTCAAAACCTCATCCACGACCAACGCCAGCTCAGCCAGCCCCAGGCCTCAAGGCCCTGGCAACAACTGGAACCAGGGATCCGGCCGCGGAGACTGGAGAGCAAAAGAAAAGGTCCTTTGGGGCACCGTGCAGGTTTTGGGGCACAGATGGAGTCTGCAAGAAGGACGGCTTGGAGAACAACAACCGTTGCTTCGGATGTTCCGATGTGGGCCATTCGAAGCGGGATTGCCCGGTCAAGAAATGGGACTGGGGCACGAGCAAGACAACGGCAGCCAAGGTGTCCAAGTTTGAGAAGCAGAAGGATGGACGGTCTTCTGGTGAAGGCCCTGGCGCAGGCGGTGAAGGGACTCACCGGGCTCCGCGGAGGAGGCGTCCCGGGAGGTCACCGGTCGGATTCCCAACACTGCACCACCGAATTCGGTGGCCATGGGTAGAGGAACACCTAAACCACCACAAGATACTGGTGAGGCAGCTGGATTGATGTCAGAAGTTGCGGGCCTACTGAAATCGCTGAGATCGATGAAGGCCCTCCAGATGAAGTGTGAGGCGGCCAAGAGGAAGGCTGGAGAAGTTGAGAATTCGGAGCCGGTTGCCCTTTTGGACGGAGGGGCGACACATGCCTTGAGGCAAGCCAGATCGCATGAGAAGAACAACCTCACTGCGGTGGAAGTGGAGTTGGCCTGCGGAAGCACGGTGTTGTATAAGCACCCTGGCGTCGGCTCTTTTGACGCTGGATCCGGTGGAGCCCATCATACCACTGAGGCTGTATCATCGATCATGGCCGGCTTCATGGTTGGCTTCGTCATGGGTGCCCGGTCATGAAACGGTCAGCGGCGATGAAGTTGATGTCCTGGACGCCCCTGATGGGGAATGGTGGCTGCAGCATTTCCCGCATCTTCCGGAGGAGGTGCTGGATTTCATGGGCAGAGTAGAGGACGGAGCAGAAGCAGCTGCTCGGAGCCCTTTCAACAGGAGCTTGAGAAGAAGATGGGAAAGAAGTAAGGGGCTGGTGGTTCACCTAAAGGACGCCAGAGAATGGAGACGGGAAGATTGGAGAGGCTACGAGGTCATTACGATTGACATGGAGGAGAATGCAAGGCAGAACCTTCATGATGCGGCCTTGCGGGGGTACCTCTGGCACCTGGCAAAGAAAGGACTGAGTCGGGCTGTGATCGGCCACCATGCTGGATATTTCCAGGTTACGGCGTCCGCCAGGACCGAAGCCTTTGAGGGGTCGGGACCAACGTCGGTATCGACTGCCAGGCTTGTCCATGGAGGACAGAAAGAAGGCCAATGGAGACACGGCACTGTTCTTCAAGCAGATGGCCTTGTGGTTGATCGGCGAGGACTCTTCATGGCGGAAAGGGAAGCCGGTTGGGTTGCTGGGGGAGTCTCCGACCCGGCCAAGTATGATCCGAAGGCAGAGGAGCTTGACATCCCCTCGTTCAGGAGGTACGCGAGTTGTGTCGGGATCATGGCATGATGTTGGTGGACCTAGATCAAGGAGCAGCTGGCCACCCGCGGAGGAAACCAACTACGCTTGCTACAAACCTGCCAGGCATGGGGGAGCTTCATGGACTAAAAGGTCAAGGTCATCAAGAGATGGAGGCGGACCTACAGCGACGGTTGGTGCAGACGAAGACCTGGTCGAAATGGGCCCCGGGATGGTGGCAGCGATCAAGAAGTCCCTGAAGGTCATGATTGATCGGCTTGAGGAGGGGGCACATGAGAAGGTTCCGGAAACAGGGGAGCTCAAGAAGATGACCCTGGAGTAGTGGGAGCATGTGAAAAGGGGACACGCTCCGTTCAATCGGAGGTGCCGCGTTTGCATGCAAGAAGCAGGCATAGACCGGCCCCACAGAAGGTTGAAGGCCGACATACCAGCTTATGTCCTAAATGTGGACATCGCTGGCCCCTTCTTGGAAGGAGCTGCAGGCACTAAAAAGATAAAGGTCAAGTGTGCCCTGATCGGAACGGTGCCTGTACTGTACCTCTTGAAGGTGGAAATGGCGGTGATCTGCCAGCGGAACCGGTTGAAGATGCAGAGGAGGAAATGGGCTTAGGCGATTGGGAACAAGAACACGAGCAACCGCGCGCTTCGGATGACGAGGCGCGGCGGCTCAACGAGAAGGTCAAGGACGAGATGGCCGAGGCGCTCAAGGGGGTCAAGGTTCACAACGTCACGATGACGGAAGTCATGGAAACCCGAAGCGCTACGGAGGTCATCAGAGCCCTGAACCTTATCTTCGTGAAGTACCGCAGCTTGGGGATCACGCTCTACCGCATGCCCTGCGACCGGCGGGCGAAGGGGTTCCTCTCGAAGCAGGTGCAGCATTGGTGCTTGGAGCACAATTTGTTAATGTTGAAACGCATGTGGAAACATGAACTGTGTGTGGAATGCTTGACCATATTGGCATGTGCCATTTTGGCTCAAGCATTGCTCTGGGTTCCTGGAACCCAAGCTGATTGAAAAACTTTGATCTTTTGCATTTTCGAACTTAACCCCGACCAAGCAATGGCTTCCTCGGCAACCTCGGCAACTTCCTTTGAGTTGATTGAGGACCAGACACTCACCGTGGAGGAGGTTGAAATGGCCAGCCAGGAGGCCCAGGACATTCGCACACGGGAGGCGGCAGTGGCGGCCGGCTTGGTTTTGGACGAGCCCGAGGCCCCCCGTCAGCTTCGGCGACCGATGTGATGAATGACCTCTCCAGTGCACTGGAGCGTCTCCAAGTGGCATTTGCCACACCGACTCCCGGCTTGGGTGCCCCTGGCCCCG